CACTGTTCTTTCTATTCATTCAACTATTCATTCTATTATTCAACTTTCTATTCATCATAAAATCCTGAAAAAAAACTGTTCCAGAAAAAAGTTTCTGGAGCTTCAAATGAGCATTTTAGGATGATTTCTGAAGGATCATGTGACACTGAAGACTAGTGTACAATACAGCTTTGCCATCACAGAAATAAATTCAGTTTTTAAAAAAGTTATTTTAAATTGTAATTGTATTTCATAATGTTACCATTTTTACTGTATTTTTAATCAAATAAATGCATGCAGCCTTAATGAGCAGAAAAGATTTATTTCAAAAACATTTTAAAAATCTTCTAAACTAAACCAGAAAATCACACTAACCAATAGGCTATACTGAAATAATTGACCACATAATTGCATCTTATTGTCCATCAGTGCTAACTGTGATTTAAGCTGAACTTCACTTTAAACAAAGTACTCATAAGGCATGAGGCAAGTTGATCTGCAGAAAATTAGAATTTCCATATTTTCCTAAAGCCTTTGCTAACACTCCAATGATGCAGAAAATTATACCATTAGGAGAATTTCCTAACGCTTTGTGTTCACATTGTGATGCGAATCTTAACCAAGGGACCTGCACCTCAACACATACTGCTAGTTTTCACATGTGAAATGATGCCGTGTCGTGTTATTTTTTACAGTCCAATGTGGTCTGAAATGGTGGAAAACCCAACAGTGATGCAAGTGCCGCAATCAGATCAAACTAAATGAGGTCAGCACATAAATATTTAAAGGGGTCATATGATTTTGCTAAAAAGAACATTATTTTGCGTATTTGGTGTAATGAAATGTGTTTGTGCAGTTTAAGGTTAAAAAAACATTATTTTCCACATACTGTACATTATTGTTTCTCCTCTATGCCCCGCCTTTCTGAAACACATTGATTTTTACAAAGCTCATCGGTCTGAAAAGCAAGGTGTGCTCTGATTGGCCAGCTATCCAGTGCGTTGTGATTGGCCGAATACCTCAAGCGTGTGACGGAAATGTTACGCCCCTTAACATACTGTGATGCCGTGTCCCGGCCAGAGCGACGAGA